GATTCTAACTCCTGTCTAATGCCCAAATTCATGCTCTTCTACTATACCAATCTGCCTGTTTAGATACATTGTATCCCATCACTACTGGCAGGGAATAAAAGACCTCTGAATTTATATTTGATCAATATGGGCAAGTCCACAATTTTTTAATATGTACAAATGAGAAAAGTAAAGTCATCAGGGATGGCTCTGTGACTATTTCCTTTGGCTTTTTTGAAAATAACTATCTATCCAAATACACATTGTATAATTTATATTGGACTTTGTCCCTTGAATTACTAGTAGAGAACCCAAGGAAATCCTAAAGAAGTAGGTTACATAAGGCCACAGACTTCTCTAATGTGATCTCCACTTGATTTGGATATTGTTTTTGTTATACAGGATTCTGACAGTTTTACTGAGTAATAGGACACATCCCCAGGAAAACTGTCTTATACCACATAGCCATTCTTACATTTTCTATTTCTTCTTTTCTGTAGCTCCTAATATTCTCATTTTATTCATTTAGTGTTATTCTGATTTTAATTATGTGCATAAATTTCTAAAATGGGTGCATTCACATCTCTCTCTGTCTCTGCCTCTCTCTCTCTCTCTCTCTCTCTCTCTCTCTCTCTCTCTATATATATATATATATATAACCAGTACAGCAAGTTTTTGGAAACCAAATGTCACAAAAATTAAAGGCATTTATTTAAATGAGAGGTAAATTTGTTACTCCAAAGAAACTGGATTACATCCTATAAAAGAGTAGAATATAAACATGAATTAGCAATGTTTGAAACTTCAGGGTTACAGTCAAAATCCATTATTTTCATTGCCAAGATCAATGTAACGAAACATAGAAGTTTTACACTTTCAGGTCTTATGTTTAAATCTTTAATCCATTTTGAGTTGCTTTTGTATATAGTGTAAGATTGGGATCCAGTTTCATCCTTTTACATATGGACATTCAGTTTCCCAGAATCATTTTTTGAAAAGACTACCCTCTCTCCAATGTATATTCTGGTCCTCTTGTTGGAATTCAATTAACTGTACATTCATGGATTTACTTTTGGGTCCTCTGTTCTGTTCCATTTGTCTATGTATCTGTCTTTCTACAAGTATCATATTATTTTATTTACTATAGCTTTATGTACATTATGAAATCAGGAAGTACAATGCCTCCAGATTTGTTCTTTCTCAGGATCACTTTGGTTACTCCAGATCTTTTGTTGTTCTATATGAATTTTAGTTGTTTTTCTATTTCTCAAAAAAAAAAGAAATCCATTGTGTTTTTTATGGAAATAGCGTTGAAGCATAGATTTCTTTGGATAATATTAGCATTTTAATAATGTTTGTTCTTCTAAACCATGAACATAAAATATCTTTCCATTTATTTGTGTCTTCAATTTCTTTCATTAATGTATAATAGTTTTTAGTGTACAGTCTTTTACCTCCTTGATTAAGTTTATTCCCAAGTACATTATTCTTCTTGATGCTATTATAAATGGGATTGATTTCTTAATTGCCTTTCAGATATCTCATTTTAATTTATAGAAACATAACAGATTTTTGCATGTTGATTTTGTACACTGAAACTTTACTGAATATGTTCATTAGTTCTAACAGATTGTTTATGGAGTCTTTGTGGGGCTTTTTATTTAAAAGTTTATATCATCTGCAAATAGACTATTTTACTTCTTCCTTTATGATTTGAATACTTTTTTTCCCTTCGCTTGTCTAATTGCTGTGGCTAGAATTTGTAGTGATATGTTGGATTGAAATGGTGAGACTGGGCATCTTTGTCTTGTTCTTGAGCTGAGAGAGAAAGATTTCCATTTTTTTTTTTTTTCATTGAGCATGATGCTAGCTGTGGGCTTGTCATATATAGCCCTTATTATGTCGAGGTATGTTCTTTCCATGTGTCATTTGTTGAGCATTTCTAGCATGAATGTGTCAAATATTTTATCTGCATCTATTTGATGATCAAGTGATTTTTTACTCTTCATTTCTTCATTCTTTTTTTTAATGTGCAAATCACAATTTTATCTGCATATGTTGAACAATTCTTGCATTCCAAGGATGAATCCCACACAATCATGGTGTATGCTTTTGTTAGTGTGTTGTTAGAATCAGTTTGCTAATATTTTGTTGAGGAATTCTGCATCTATGTTCATCAGGATATTGGCCTATAATTTTATCAAAAACAGGCAACAAAAACAAAAATAGACAAGTTGGACTATATCAAACTAAAAAGTTTCTGCACAGTAAAGGAAACAATCAAGAAAGTGAAAAGGCAACCTAAGATATGGGAGAAAATATTTTCAGCTCATATCATATTATCTGATAAGTGTTTAATTTCCAACATATATAAGGAACTTCAGTAACTCAACTTAAAAAAAAAAAAAAAACAACTAAGTAAAAAAAAAATGGGCAAAGGCCTTGAATGTCTCCAAAAAGATATAAGAATGGCTAATAGGTTTATGAAAAGGTATTCTACGTAACTAATCATCAAAAATGCAAATCAAAACTACAATGAGCTATCTCACACTTGTTGGGATGGTTATTATTACAGTAACAAAAGATAAAAGTATTGGCAAGGATGGGAAGAAATTGGAATGCGCCCTGCACATTCACGGGACCGAAAAATGGTGCAGTTATTATGAAAAACATAGAAGTTCTCAGAAATTAAAAATGGAACTATCATATGATCCAGTAATCCAACTTCTGGGTATATATATCCAAAAGAATTGAAATCAGGATCAAAGAAATACCTGCACTCACATATTCATTGCAGCATCATTCACAATAGCCAACGTATGGAAACAACTCAAATATCTTTTGACCAAATGAATGGATAAGGAAAATGTTGTGTATACATACAATAGAATATTATTCCACCTTAGAAAGAAGGAAATCCTATCCTTTGTGACAATATGAATAGACCTGAAAGACATTATGCTAATTGAAACAAGCCAGTCACAAAGACCAAGACTGTGTAATTGCATTAGATGAGTTATCAAAGAGTCAAAAGTCATAGAAACACAATGGAATGGTGGCTGTCAGTTGATGTGGAGGAGTGAAAAATGAAAGTTGTTCAATGTGTACAAAGTCACAGTTATACAAGACAAACAAGTTCTGGAGATCTGTTGTACAACCTAGTGCCTATAGTTAACAATAAAATGTGGAGCATTTAAAAATTTAAGAGGGTAGAGAATTTATGCTGTGTTCCTAACAGAATAAATGAATTAATTAAATTAAAAAATAAAATCTGGTAGTTTTCTCTCTTTATCCTTGAAAATGTTACAGAATTAAATATAGAAGGAACGCCTATAAATAATTATATCCAGACTTAGGAACAAAACCCTTTGAATCTTTTATTTATATTGTTACTTATGGGATGAATTTGAAAGTTCTATAAATATAGATATAGTAAGGCCTACATTGCTATAACTTACAAATGCTACTTCTGATTTTAATAGGATGTTAACGTATAATCTCAAAAAGTTATTTAAAATGTATTATTTTGACCTCTAAGAGCTTAAAGTAAAAACGTGATTTCAGAAAACTGTTTATAATTAAGCAAATACATTCATGTGACTGAATCTATGAATAAAATTATATTAAATCTTCCCCTAAAATTTTTCTCAAAGTTACATGCTGCTAAATAGTAAGTGGTTCACTGATTAAAGGAACAGTAACTAGTATTTTAATGTTGTAACTAGGGAAACATATTGAAAAATACTTGACTAACATTAAAAGAAAATCAGAATAGAGAATTGAAATTAAACTCTGTCTTACAACTTTCATCATAAAGAACAAAGAAAACTAAAGTATTCAACTACTTGTCACCTAAATTATTTTTAAAGAGAAAGTGGATTGCAAATTGATATTTAGCAGAAATATATAAAAGGCATAGAGAAGTTACAGTGGACCTTATCCAGGTCATTAACTTTAGCTTTCTTTTATCTTTATCTACCTTAAGAATTTTCTTTAAAAAAACTTTTTTTAATGTTTATTTACCTTTGAGACAGAGACAGACACAGAATGCGATTGGGGGAGGGGTAGAGTGAGAGGGAGAATCCGAAGCAGGCTCCAGGCTCCAAAAGCTGTCAGCACAGAGCCAGATCCAGATCCGGGACTCCAACTCACAAGCCCTGAGATCATTACCTGAGCCGAAGTGGGCCTCCCAACCAACTGAGCCGCCCAGGTGACCCAAGAATTTTCTTTTTAAATATTTGCTTGCAATGATGGTTGAACTAGTGAGACCAAATATAGATAAAGATATACTAGTAGTCAGGACTTGGATAAGATCTTTCTCCCTGCTTGGATCCACCAATATCTACCTATACTCGTTGATTTAAAGAGAAATAAGATTCCTGAGACAATGCTTTAACCTTGTTCAAGAACTCAATTGAGAAATAGGCATGCCAAACTAGACAGTCCTCCAAGTATCAGGGCCCTGCAACAAATTACAATAATTAGATTTGTAAAATCATCTAACAAATCAGATTGAGGAGCAAGGGTAATAGTCATTCCAAGTACATCCAGACCCAATCTTAAAACAACCATCCTGTGGCATATGCGCACTGGGGGAAGAAAGTGTCCGTGACTTTTCTCATAGAGAGCACATTTGATAAATCATGGTACTTGGAGTTCCAAGCAATTTAGCTATAACTAAAAATCCATCTTGTGCATCCCCACTCTATCCATATCTCTTTCGCTACGTAATAGTTGTGTTGTTCTTGTTGTTGTTTTGTTTTGTTTTGTTTTGTTTTGTTTTGTTTTGTTTTAAAAAAAGAATGAATGGTACATTTTTCCCCATTACTTCATGATACAATCGGGAAACGTCGGCAGTGATGGCAAAGCATTTCTAGCACTAAATGGAGAAAACAGCCCAGGGATTGATGTTGGTGGCAGGGCAGTGAGCTCTTAAGGTGGCAGTAACCACAGAGACTGCTGCAGAAAAGCCCTCCTCTATAGCCAGTCGCGCTTTGTGAGGGCGAGTGTTCGATACATACGGGTCTTTCTGGCAGAATCTTCCACGAAAAGAGAAGAGATGTCTTCATCCACTCCTGCTTCATTCTTTGCGATACAAGTGTATGCTCCTGTATCTTCATAGCGCACATTGCTTATATGAACCTCGCTGCCATTTGCTGAAAACAGAAGGCAAATGCAACTTGTAAACTCCAATTTCAGTTTTGGTACAGTGCTTTCCGATTACACAGTCAAACAGTTCCCTTAGCTTGTCCTAATTAAACTGCTTTCCTTCCTACTTTCATGCTTTGGAGGCACGCCAAATTATTCCAAAAGCATTCAAGTGTTTCATAAACTGTGTTGTCATTCTGCTAACAGAGAACCCAAAACTCTGTATCAAATGCACACGCTTTATATTTTATATTTATTTCTTATTTCCTACTTGGTATAGGTATTTCATATTGATAACTATAATTCCATTTATTTATTTATTTTTAGTATTCAAAATTCACTTTGTCTTAAGTTTTACAAAATTTTAAAATAATAACAATAAGTTTTATATACAGGAGAATACATATAAAAAGACTTCATAAAGGAATTAAGCCAGCTACATCATACAAGTATAGTGCAATTACCACTTGTCAAGTACATTATTGAGCGTGTATTAAATATCTGGAATTATAAGGTAAGGGAACTATTAAGTAAGGAAAACAGAAAGATAAAAACACATGATTTGTCTGCAAGATTTCAATCTTTTGCCAGGAATATATGTAAACAATATTATAATATGGAAATTAACACTGTCAATGTATAACCAAAGGGTTAAGGGAATAATAGCTCAACTTTTAAATCTTAGTAAAATAATTTTTTAAGCTAATCCCTAATTAATGAGTTGTATTCCCTAATGGGGATACCAGAGTATAATTAAAAACTGACTATATGTAGGAAATATACAAGGTGGTGTTACACATATTATGTGTTAATTGTCCTAAGTAATACATAATTATCAGAAGCAGAATCCAAGACTCAGAGAATGATGGTACATAAATCACTCAACTCAAAAGATGGGGGCTGGATGCCTATCAGACTCCCAAATCCAGTGTTTGTTGTGCTCATTTTTTTTTCCTCTTTTACTTTATTTCTTTAAGTCTTTCTGTGTGTGTTTGTACCCATTATTATCTAATCACAAGAACACCATGCACCATGTCCTGTGTGGTTGTCTGGCAGAAAAACAGTGGGAAAAGAGCTTGAAATGCGAGTGGCTCTCAAGGGATGTGAATAGGAGGATATGGAGAGGCAGCGAGTGTTTGGGGAGAAAGAGCCAGACTACTTGAACCTCTTTCTCACTTTGTAGATGTTATTACACACCTCCACCATCCCCCCACCCCCATCCATTGTTGAGAGTCACTACTCCAAAAGGGAGGTTGGTGATTTGTTTTTGTTTTTGTTTCTTTGCTGTAAAAGGCCTGGTAAATATTTTGTGCTTTATAAGCCATATCATATCTGTGACAACTGCCCACTTCTGCCATACTGGCATAAAGGAGCCATGACAATACTTTACAACATGAGTGTGGCTGTGTTCTAAAGGCAAACAAAAACAAAGCCGCCCCCCCTCCCCCAATTGACTTTATTCACAAAACAGGCATTTTCCCAGATCTGGCTTGTGGACCTTAGTTGGCAGACCCCTGCTCTGAAAAATAAGGAGTGAACATGCATTTAAGCCTGCCTCAGCTTCTTGTTTTACATGAAATATGGCTCTCTCCAAAGAACATACTTTTTCTTAAGACCCACAACTTCACAACTTCAATTCTCTAGATTTGTTTTGAAATATCGTCAATTTATTCCTTCCTTAAACTTTCTCTTCTCAATATTCTTATATGTTCTCCTAACCTACATGCCTCACTGTCTTCCTCCTTCTCTACATAATCCACCATTTCTAAATATTTTCTACTCTATTGCCAGAATGAGCAATTCCCTCGTCCATTTATCATTCTGACACACAGGCCTTACTAACTGCCCAAACTGCAACAAGCTGACATATCTCCACACTTGGTGTCTCTGTATCTAGTTTTTTTGAGTACATTAAGAGACTACTGCATAGGCAAATTTACAGATTTTGAAATTCACAGTTTTCAGTTTGCAAGATGTTCAATGCTACTTGCTATTTATTTCACCTGACCTTTATGGTTACATGCCTTTCATTTCCTGCTCCATTTTTATTTCAAATCTTTACTATGTTTGATGTTTCCCATCGTAATTATAACTTCTTAATCTACACAAGTGACCTTGCTTTTAAATAATGAAATACATACATGTAATCAGAAAGTAAACTCAAATCATTTTGCAGTATACATGGTTATTAAATCATCACATTTTATTACCTTAAACTAACACAATGTTATGTCAATTATATTTCAGTAAAAGCTGGGAAAACGAGTTAGGCCAATTTCCTATTTCCATCTACATTTTTACATTTATTTACATTTCAAAGGAAACTCTCTCCTGCTTCTTTGCAAGGGAAATCTCTCTTTTCTTTCTGATTTCTATGATTATTTGGTCATCCTTCCTCACCTCCATCATCTCCACATCTTTTTCCTTACTAATATTCCTTCAAATTGATGCACTGTTTAAGAAAAAATATCTTTATTTGCCCTAATTCTTACCCTCAGTGGCAGCTAACTTTTCTTTTTCTTCCTTTCAAAACTGGAGAGATTTTTATACTTCCTACTTCCTTTTCATTTCCAAACCCACTGAAGACTAATTGCTACTATCACTGCTTTTTTAAATGTCAAAAGGCCAAACCTAATCACCTAACTCACAAATACATTTCAGTGACTTTCCTTAACCTTTCTATGCATTTGACATTGTTGAACACTTTCCCATACTTAGCTTTGTTTTCTTCTGTAGAATCACCTTAATTTCATGCTTCCTTGTTGATTTTCAGTCTCCTTGTGTTATTTACCTTGATTTGCCTTCCAATTAAACATTTCTGCTTTTCTAAGATTTTACTTCCTCTCATTAACATATCATCTCATCCATGGACATAGTTATGGAGTCTGTGCCTAGACTTGGACCTCACATATTAATGCCAACTAAGCATTTGTTGAATAAATGGATAATTGAATAACTATAGTATTTGGTAATATGTAATCATATAGAAAGTCCTATGAAATTCAACACTCCAATGCACTCAGAGTTATCTCGTAGGTTGTGTTCCCCACTCACCTTTCATTTGTCACATTCTCTCAAAATTTTAGCTATTTTCTCGTTTTTAAAAATGATAATAGCTATCCTACAAGGGCCCACACTCTTTCAATATTGAATCTAGAGTGTAACCAAACCCCTGAATTTACCTCCCTGTATATTCCTAGAGGCAAAGATATAACTTGCCCATCTAATATGGCTTACTAGTATTAAATGGGCAAGAGATGACAAAATCAGAAACTAATTAGAACTTTCTTCACTTTAATTTGTGTTAATCAGATCAATCTTCTTCTCTTCTAAGATTATAGACACTAAAGATATGATCAGCAGATGTAAACATGTTGGTTTACTTATATTAATATGGAGATTTGTAGCATTCAGGTTTTAAAGGTCAAAATTACTTTCCCATGTCATTTTTGAAAAAAAAAATAGTAGATATTTCAAAAAAAAGTATTTAAAAACATATATTGAAACATTCTTTGTCAAAGTGGAATAAGAATTGATGTCTGTGCTTATAGAAATAATGCCAAAATGAAAATACATTCATTTCTAGCAGTATGAATTGCAGGAATTTAAAGCAAGCAATAAAGAATACCATGTCATGCAACAGATACTCCAGTAAAATGACCTGTCATGTTCTACTCTTGATGGTGGAAATAAGATATACATTTTTCAACCTACTGGTATAATCAACATATATGCAACTGTTTTTGCACAAAGATATTTTTTGTTTTCTACTTACCACATATTAATGATTATTATATGTGTAATAATTGATTAATTATAGTTACACATTAGATTATTAAAATTTAGGATATTTTATAAATTAGAATTCAATAATAATATTCATAACCTTAAACCAATTTGGTAATGTTTTTATTTTCCTCTGTCTTCATTTGCAAAGTATACTACAAAACATCCACTAAGGAATTTCCATATTATTTATACTTCCTATAATGTATTTTAAAAGTATGATTTAAACATTTAATTGGCCCCTGCAGAAAGGTATTCTCTGAAGACATCCACCTATTCTGTTCAGCATATCTGCTATAATCCATAAGACAAGTATTTAAAAGATACATAATATAATATTTTATTTATTGCTAAAATAATGACATAATTAGTATGACAAAATTATTATTGAAAACACTAAAAATAGTAAAGGGCTCTATTTCAGATATAATGTGTTAGAAACAGCTATATTATTTTCATACTCATGACATTTTGTTGTCATCTACCTTTTTTTTTTAAGTCACGTCAACTGTGTTATAAATTTTAATGTAAAATGTCCACATGGTCATTTGAGAGGAGAAAATGAAACTGAAAAGCACCTTGAAGTGTGAGTTGTTTGGACAGCTTTGGTGTAATATCGATTCCATTCTTCAGCCAGCCAAGCTGAGGGTTTGGTATGCCCTCTGCATGGCACCTGAGACTTGCAGTTACCCCAGGTTCTCGAGCCTGACTCTCTGGATACACCCGGATCACTGGAGGGACTACAAGAAGAAATGGGAAAAAAGTGAGTTACTAAGCCATATTCTGTGATTTTCCAAAAATTGCAATATGATAAAATTGCTAATTATATATTCTAATGATATGTAATTCCGCAGATCTTAGTTTCCAAATATCAATAGCTCCAAAATTTTGCCACTATTCCTTGCATCAAGGTCATTATGAGACTGTGTCAGGAAAAATACAAGCTGAGCCTGGAATATCCTGTTTTGGTAATAAAGGAGGTTTTCGAAAATGATAGAAACAACAATAAAATACAGAATCCAAGGGTGCCTGGGTGGCTCAGTTGCTTAAGCATCTGAGTTCAGCTCAAGTCATCAGCTCACTGTTCATGAATTCGAGCCCCACATCAGGCTCCATGCTGACAGCTCAGAGACGGGAACCTACTTCGGATTCTGTGTCTCCCTCTCTCTCTGCTCCTCCCTTGCTCCCTCTCTGTCTCTCTCAAAAATAAACACATTATAAACAAAAAAATCTTAAAAACAAAACACAAAAGCCAGCTTAAAGGGGCTCATATTTGCCAAATATATGAAAATTTGGGCATTAAAATAATTAACAACTCTAAAGAACTATAAGGAACAAAATAAGACTTTAAGAATTCAGTTATAGGGTCCCCTGGGTGACTCGGTCGGTTAAGCATTCAACTTCTGCTCAGGTCATGATCTAGCAGTTCATGAGTTTGAGCTCCACATCGGGCTCCGTGCTGACAGCTCAGAGCCTGGAGCCTACTTCAGATTCTGTGTCTCCTTCTCTCTCTACCCCTCCCCCACTCATGCTCTGTCTCTCTCTCTCAAAAATAAATAAAACATAAAAAATTTAAAAAAAGAATTCAGTTATATAAACAAATAATGAATATATAAATGAGAAAGAACAAAAATATTTTCCTTACCATAGCATGTTTAAAAGATCAGAGTAACAATTATATTTATAGAAGCATCCAAAAAATAAAATATTTAGAAATATTTAGAATATTTAGAAATGAAATTAACCAAGGAGGTGTAAGATTTTTACACTGAACACTGCAAAATGAGTTGAAAGAATTTAAAGAAAAACACATAAGTGCAAAGTCATGTGTTTATTAATTGAAATAATTAATTAGTAGGACAGTAAGAATGGGTAAGAATTGTCTGTGGGATGATAAGACTCCAAAAAAATCGATCTATAGATACAATGTAATCCCAATCAAAATTCCAACTGCATTTTTTTTGTAGAAATGGAAGAGCTAATCTTCAGCTTTATATGGAACTACAAGGGACCCCAAATAGCCAAAACAATCTTGAAAAAGAAGACAAAACTGGAGGTCTCATATATCCCAATTTTCAAATGTATATATATGTAGACAACACACACACATATAGTATAGTAATCAAAACAATGTGATAACTGGCATAAAGAGAAAAATCAAATCTATGGATATAGACTTGGGATGCCAAAATAAACCTATTAATCTACGGTTAATGGATTTTCAACAAGGATTCCAGAAAAGAGTCTTTTCAAGAATTGATTCTGAAACAACTGGATATCCATATGAAAAAGAATGAACTTGAACCCCTACCTCACAACATATATAAAAATTAACTCAAAATTAATCAGACTTAAATGTAGGAACTGAAATAATAAAACACTTAGAAGAAAACATAAGGATAAATTATCCTGACTTTATATTTTACCATGGTTTCTTAGATATGACCCCAAAATACAAGCAACAAAAGAAAAATTAATAAACTGAACTCATTAAAATTAAAATTTGGGGTGCTCAAAGGACACTATCAAGAAAGTATAAACACAACTCACAGAGTAAAAACATATTTGCAAATTATATCTGATAACATACTAGTATCTAGTATATATAATGAGCTGTTATAACCTAGCAACAAAAGACTAACATCCCCTTCCACACAGCAAAGGAAATTGTCAGCAAAATGAAAAGGAAACCTATAAATGGGAGGAACTATTTGTAAGCCAGATATCTGATAAGTCATTAATATATAAATATACAATGAAATCATATAATTTAACAGAAAAAAAGCAAATAAAAATGGGCAAAGTATCTAAACAGACATTTTTTAATGAAGACATACAATGACCAACAGGTTAATGACAAGGTACTCAACATTACTCAACATTACTGCTTATCAGGTAAATGCAAACCAAAACCACTTCATATTTGTTAGGATGTCTATTTTAAAAGGTAAGAGATAACAACCATTGGTAAGGATATGGAGAAAACAGAGCCCTTGTACACTGCTGGTGGACATGTAAATTGGTACAAACACTATGGAAAATAGTATGGGGGCTCCTACAAAAATTAAAAATAGAACTACTTCCAAGTCAGTAAATTCTAACTTTATGCTCAAGTAAGCTTTAACTGACACAGATTCCTTCTGAACTTTATCCTCAATATTCTCCCAGGAAAAATAAGACTGGATTTGTGTATCTTCTTTTACCCTGTGTCAGTTCTTCTGCTGATAGAAAATAATACCATCAGCAATAATACTTTGAGAGTAAAAATAATAATATGTTCATAGATGCCATAGAATATTTGTGTTGTACTTCCTATAGTCATGTTGCTTTAAAGATGAGTCACATAGAAGTTTGAAGCCTTCCCCAGGACACAGAGCTTGTTAGAGTCCAGAGTTGAGATGAAACTCCAGGAGGCCATGATTCCTCAGCCAATGTTCTTTGCTTTTCATGCTGTCCCTAATCAACCTGCCTGATCTTGGTCTCTAATAGCCACTGAATTTAGCCAATAGGAAAAAAAAAATACACAAAAATCTGAAGGGTAGTAAAAACATGTTCCAAATTTGACTGATCAGTAATTCCTATGGCAATCAATCAGTCAGCCAATCATAAAAATTACCTTAGAATCCAGCAGTCCCACTACTGGGTATATACCCAAAGGAAACAAAATCACTATCTTTAGAGAGATAACTGTAGTCTTATGTTCAAGCAGCATTATTCGCAATAGCCAAGGTAAGGAAACAAACTTAAGTGCCCATCAATGGCTGAGTGATAAAGAAAATATGGTATATATATATGACGAAATATTATTCAGCCTTACAAAGGACATTCTGTCATTTGTAAGAACACAGAAGGCATATTGTAAGTGAAATAAACCAGACAGAGAAAAAAAGATACTGTATGGATGACTTATATGTAAAACTTAAAAACAACAACAAACAGCAATAAAACCAACAACAGTAAGAAAATTATGTTGACTGCAACCTCAGAAAAGACCTAATACCAGACCATCTGCTTAAGCTGTTCTCAAATTCTTTAGTTGTCTCATTTCTCTGCTTATAATCTCATAACTCTATATCTCTATTTTCCTGTTATCTCATATGAAAACAAATGTTATTTTAAACCACTAAGTTTGAGGATAATTTATTGTTCACTAATCTCTCTCTCTCTCTCTCTCTCTATGTGTGTGTGTGTATATATATATATATATATATATATATATATATATTATCTGCACTGCCAGCGCAGAGCCCAACATGGGGCTCAAACCCACGAACTGTGAGATCATGACCTGAGCCAAAATGAAAAGCCGGACACTTAACCAACTGAGCCACCCAGGTGCCTTTAGCATTTGTTATTTAGAATGACCATGAAAGCATATGCACCCTGCATTTGCCTTAGTAATAATATGACTTGGTAAATAAAGAAAAACACTATGGTTTTAGTGAAAAAATTTTCTGCAGGAGCTATCTTAGCAGAAGACAATGGACAGATATGCTCACCTAGGCCATTTTGCTCTTTGGTTAACTAATATACTTTGAACTACCTGATTTCTTTTATTTTCACCCAATGGAATGCCAGTCAAAGATGCAATGTGGATAACTAAACTGGGAGACTCTCTTTAGGATCTCAACTTTAGACCTAAGTTAATTTCACCACTGTTCTTTCTAGTGACTGGAGGAGCCATTGTATATACAAATTAGATTGACTAATGAATAAATGTCAGCCTTCTAGATTTACTGAAGATATAAAAGCAATTCAAACCAAGAGACTAGTTGAAGCCACAATCAGGACTATAGATATGTTTATCATCCTACTGTCCCCTTCTTTTTGGCTGTGTACGAGAGTTCTTAAACTAGACTCAAATCAGCTCTGATATGGAGACAAAGGGAAAGAAGGGGTCCTCAAAAAGTCCCAGTAATCCTTTGAATTTGCAGCTGCTTCTTTACTTTGTGAATTGCCTTTAATAGTTTCAGGAGCAGAGAAATATTAAACTTCCAAAATTCTGAACACCAGATTTTTGCTACATCCTTTCCCCCTCTCCTAAATATAATTCCAAAGAAATGCAATACACACATCTGCAACAGCGATGGGAGTAAACCAAGCTCTGATTTTTTGTTAACCTCAATGACTATTTAAATGGTTTATTTTGAAATATCAAATATATTTTCAAAAATAGTCTTCATAAATTTCTGTACATGCTTTCTGGTGACCTAACGCACGTATTTTGGTATTGGGTACATATCTAAAAGCCCAGGGTAATTTCTATACCATTTTATTACATTGGAGGTTCAAGTAAATAACTTTTTAAAGAGATACAGTAATAAACTTCCAGCAAAACCACATTACCATAAGATCTGGAGTAAAGAGACTTCTTTCATATACTCAGACCCAATCTTTAATCTCTTGACCACTCGAAAGTGAGTTAGAAGATGAGCTTTTTAAAAAGACTTTCATAGAGTGCCAAAATGGAAATCTACTCTTTCAGTAAACATTTAATAAAGGAAAGTGTATCTTGCCACAAAACTCATAGCCAAAGTAAGGACCAAGGCTTCTTGAAATATTATTTGGAATAGCAAAAAATTGAGACAATCTACATACATTGAAAATTAGTCTGAAAAGAAGTACATCAGTCAACTCAATGATAACAATAGATTCTAGGGGCTCCTGGGTGGCTCAGTTGGTTGAGTGTCTGACTTCATCTCAGGTCTTGATCTCATGGTTCATAGTTTGAGTCCCATAC